GGGGCATCATCTTCAAAGAGTCGAATATTGTTAGCTGAGACAGAGAAGTCTCGCAACTCTGGGTGGTCCTAAACAGAAGGTCATACTACAACCTTCATGTTTGTGCGAGAGGCAGGTCGCTGGTGACAGCTCAAGCAGGTCATCCTGCCCGTTCTAGTCACTTGGGAACACTTCTGATGGCTTTCAATATAGAGTACTTCCTAGAGCACTTCGGCATTTGAAGAAAATAGAGTTTGCAAACTTAATCAATGGTGATATGACTGTGTCAGAGTATACCTGAAGATTCTTATAGTTTGGCCAATATTCCCCTAAGAGTATGATGGATAAAAGCAGAAAGATAAAGAGATTCGAGTGAGGTCTCCGTCCTGAGATCAGACAATAGCTGTACGTATTTAAGCTTAGCACTTACTCAGTTGTTCTGGCCAAGGCACAGCTAGTGTAAAGGAACCTTTGCATCTTTCTTTAAGTAATGGGGAATCTCAGACCCCCGGTTTCATACTGTAGACTAGCATTTGCTGCACTAGTTCAGTAGAACAAGAGACCTATGCTAGTGACTTAGACTCCTCCTCAAGCTCCGATAACAGGATGCGATAGGACTTGCCAAGACTGTGGCAAAAATCATGGGGACCGACCTGCTATCGTCTCAACAATCCTACAACATATGTGGGAGTACCGAACATTATGCGAGAGAGTACCCGTAAAATCAGAATCAGGCCAGATATCTTATTTAAGGCAGAACTTACAACCTCACTCAATAGGATACTGAAACCAACTCGAATGTGATACAGAGTACGTATACTATCTGTAATCATCTTGCACATGTTTTGATTGATACTGATGCTTCATATTTATTTGTATCACATGCTTTTGCACGAAACTTGAATGTATTACTTGAAAGATTTAATTATATGTTGTTTGTGTCCACTCTTAGAAGTAAAACACTACTAAGAGAGGTTATATACATAATTTGTATCATAAACATAGCAGATAGAAAACTGAGTGTGGACCTAATAGAGATTGACACGGAAGATTTTAATGTAATTCTGGGTAATTGTTGACCGGCTTACTAAGCCTTCTAACTTCTTGACTATCAAGATGACCGACCTATTGAACAAGTTAGCAAGAATACATATCTGGGAGATAGTCAAGTTACATGAAATTCCAGTGACAGTGGTATCCGACAGAGACCGCATGTTCACTTTTCGATTTTGGTCTAGTTTTTAGCAAACCATGGAGACGAAACTATCCCTTAGCACCACATTTCACCATCAAACCAATGAACAATCATAGAGGACGATTCACACACTAGAGGATATGTTCCGACCTTATGTTCTTGACTTTAGGAGCTATTGGGATGATCACCTATATTTGATAGAATTCGCTTACAATAATAGCTACCAAATAAGTATCGGCATGGCCCCATACGAGGCATTGTATGGTCGCCCCTGTAAGTCACCGATCTTTTGAAAAAATCTGAATGATAGAAAATTGTTTAGTTTAGATCTTGTAAAAGAGACTACAACCAAAATAGTTAAAATCAGAAAAAACATGCAGACAGCTCAGAGTACACAGAAGAGTTATGCGAATACCCGGAGGAGAGATTTGAAATTTGAGAAAGGTAATCGGGTGTTTCTTAAAGTGACCTCTTTTAAGGGAATTAACAGGTTTAGCAAAAGAAAAAAATTAAATTTCTGGTTTATTGGACCATTTGAGATCTTAGACAGGATTGGTACGACCGCTTACAAACTGACACTATTTCCAGAGCTATTCAAGGTTCATAATGTATTTCATGTGTTCATACTACGTAAGTACAACCTATACCTCTCACACATCCTGACCTACGAGCCTCTCTCACTCTAAGAGGATCTATCCTATGAGGAGGTACCAGTAGGCATTGTAGACCAAAAGAGTAAAGTACTTCGCAATAGAGCAATTTTATTCGTCAATATCCTATGGTAAAATCACACACAGAAGGAGGCTACATGAGAGATAGAATCGAACTCTAGAGCACAATATCCCCAACTGTTTGACTAAATGAGAGGGTGACAAATTTAAGGGACCAAATTTTTTTTAAGGGAAGAGAGTTGTAATATCCGGATCCAGAATTTGGCTCAGGATCAATTTTCATATTTATAAAAATAATTAAAAATATTAATTTAATTTAATTTTATCAAATTATTTGAGAAAAATAGGTTATAAACGAAATTGAAAGTAATTTTAGGGAAGATGGGTGAAATTTCGAGTTCGGTGGATGTTTTTGAAAGAAAAATTAAAAACAGAGGATTAAATATAAAAAAGAAAACTCGGCCACATGAGACAACTCAGTTAGCAGCCACGCGAACCATAGTACATCGCATGACAAAACAAGCTAACATTGGCGTCACACGGGAGGCCATGCAAGCGATCCACGTGGCCAGTGATTCATTCCACATCGACAAGAATGGACGGCCTAAATCGACGGAGGATAAGTATATAAACATCGCGTGTAGGGGAATTCTAACCCCAGCCGCATTTGCCCTCGCCGAATAAGAAGGACCAGTCGGTATAGAAGGAGACTGACCCACGATCGTCGCCACACTGGAGCCAGTGTCGATTGCCAAAAAAGGTAAAATTCTCTTCTACCCGCTTAAAATTTGATTCCGAGTCTCCTTGTTGCCATATCAGAGTAAAAGAGACAGTGAATAAGCCGAAAACTGCAGGTAAGTCGGAAACCACGGGCAAAGTCCAGCGTAGCTGCCGTGGCCGAAACTCTAAAAATCTTTCGATGAGCCCATTCCTGTTTCCCGTTTCACACAATTTTCTAACTATTGTGTTCACCATCCCTTTCTTTGCAGATTAGCCGAAGAAGAAACTCCAGCCGCAAAGGAGAATCGGTGGAGTCGTCGCACCCGGAGACCCCCCCACTGGTAGGTTCGATTTTTTGTGATTTTCTGATCAATCGAGACCCCCTAACGTCTTTTTTCGCATGAATACATATAAAATCGGTTAAAACTGGCCAAGCCTGGATAAATCGCTGTCGTGGGCGGCGGAGTTGACGCCGGCGTGTTGAAACCTTAAAATGGGCCGAAAAGGTTTTTCAACATTGATTTTTTTTATTTTTGGAGTGTTTTTAGGTACGTGATGAGTATTTTGGATTATCGCAAAAAAAATTCAGGAAACTTAGGACTCGTTAGGTGGTATAGTAGATAGCACGACGTTTCGAAACAGCGATCCAGGTAAGGATCACTCACCCTATTCTCGGTTACGGTAAATTGAGGATTAATAATCGATAATTGTATGCTTTGTTAGAAATTAGAAGAACCCTAAAAATATTATAGCTCACTAGTATAACTGGAACATGTTAGTTTATATTTATCTTGATTCTTTGTTTATTTTTCTGTACTACCTATATTTGATTACTATTATACTGTACGTAATTGAGTTGATGATTTTTTATTCGATATTCTGGTTATTGGTTATTTAGTTATGTTAAACTATATCGCTTGTTTAAATATTATTTTGAATTAATATTTGGATATGAACTGAGATGTTGATATGTTTTAGTGGTTATTTGGATGATAAGAGTCTAAATAAATGAAAGCTTATTGGGCACCCTAGGAAAGGGTGGACATTATTTCAGTCGGACGGGACTGAGAAGTCCCATACCAGAAGGTTTTTAGGAGATATGATTCACCCTCATACCAGAGGAACTATCGAGGCGATGATATTTTTGGCGCTCATTATTGGACGGAGTATGAGCTCGACCGGGTTAATTGTCAAATCTTGATACTTGGTTCACGAGTAGATGGATATCCCTATGGATTTCGAGAGTCCTAGTAAGTAGGTTAAAAAGGAATGATTGTTGATTCTATGCATGAAATTAAAATGTCATTTGGTTAATTGTTTTCATAAGTTGATTTTGAAAATAATTGTAACGTTAAGTATCGAATAAAAAATTTTAAAATTAAATGTATTTATTTAAAGGAATGATTACATTAGTTGTTTCCTGATTTTTACTAACATTAGATTTTCCGTATAAGTGATTAGTGTGATATTTTTACTGGACTAATGTAGTTCACAATTTCATTAACCATTTCAGATTAAAAAAATAAAGATTTAAATTCCAATCAGCAAGAAAGTTGTGAGTAGACCACATTTCGGACTCCTTTCAAGTGCTAATGAAGGTTGTCTTAAGATACTAATATATTTATATTTTTTTAATTAACGTTGTCTTTTATGAACCACGTAGAAAAGATATTTTCATAATTCTATTAGACAATTCAATTTAATGTGTAACAAATGTAAATAGTGCTTCCGCATTGAAATTATAAGTCCATTTTCTTTAAGGTTTTGGGACTTTACATTAGAAGTTTAATTTTACACCCGGTCTTCATGGTTGCATTAACTTGTGTGTATATTTTAAATATTCATATGTTATATTTTATGAACCTAAATTTGTTATATTATTGTAAAAATATTAAGTGTACGATTCATAGTTTTGTAGGATAAATTATAAAATTAATGTACAAAGTTTTACATTTGTTATAATTTGGACATTGATATTATTTATGTTACAATTAGGTTTCTATTTGTTTCAAATATTTGGTTTCTTTCTATTTTCTAACATAATTAGATAATATCGAAATATTTTAAAAAATAGTTTAAAATAATGACTTTAATTAATTATTTTAATTAATAAATTTATTAATTTAATTGATTAGTAAAAATAATGTTTTTGAGTTATTTTTTTAAAATATTTAAATATGATTTGATAATTTAATTTTTTTGTTACAAAATAAAAAAAAATTGGGTGTTTAAAAAAATTAAAAAAATTAAAAAAATTAAAAATTAAATTATAACGAAAAAACAATTTAATGATTTATTTATTTTTATTATAATTATTAAATAAATATTAAATTATTTTTATATAAATAAATAACATACTAATTTTTTTTTATATTATTCTCATACTATATAATATAAAATTATTGTTAATGACATAAGATCCTTGCATCAAAATATTTTCGTAAGGTTGTAAGTTATAAATATAGAATTATATAACTTTTACAAACATAAACATATACATCAAAGTTGTAATGTTTAATTTAATTTGCTTGTTTGTGAGGATGAAGGACAAAATAGAGATAGAAGAGGGACCCACTGGTGATGGATGAAGCTACAATACACATGATTGGCTGATGACGATTCCATTGGCTTTAACCAAATTTTTGCTTGGGGATATATATACACATATATATATAGAGAGAGAGAGAGAGAGAGAGAGAGAAACAGAAAACAATGCTTTATTTAACATAGTAAATATAATTTTTTTTTTAATTATTTTGTTTTCATTTGAAACATTTTTAAAAAATATATATGATTTTTTAATTTTTTATATTAATTTTAATTAAATTAACACGTTATGTTGCAATAATGAACACAATTGAAAAAATTAATTATTTGATTAATTAATTTATTTCTTTCTCTCTTTACCAAAAAACAAAAACTTTTAAAAAAAATTCAAAGAAGAAAAAAAAGAATTTTTTTTGGCAATTACGATTAATGTTATTAATAATATATAATTTTAAAAAGTTTTACTTATTTTTTTGTTTATCTTTTTTAATTCAGCCATAATTAATTAACCCATTAAATAAAACAATATTCTTTTTTGCTCATGTAAGTACCACAAATTTTTTTAATATATTAAAATATTTTTAATTTTTTTATGGTTATTTTGCTTTATTTAAATTAAATAATTTGCATGAAAACCAATGAATAAAACATAGATTCATTACTTTTAGTTTAATAAATTTTTTATTTTTACTGAAATTTGAAATCTTAATCTAAAAAATAAAAGCTGTTACCCATTAAATAGTGTTTTGTTTGCAATGTATGTATATATACACACATATATATATAATATATAATATATATATACATCATTGGTGAAGGTGCTGTTGCACTTTTTTTTTGGGTTGCATTTTGGCATCAAAGGTTTTGGTTTGCTAAGGAGCATAAAAGATTCCTACTTTGTTTTTTCAGCTGTGGATGAGACTCATTTCCAGCTCTGTTTTTATAGCTTTTCTTCTCTAAACTTTCCATTTTCCTATCAGTTTTCATTTCATTCTGCAACAAATTCATTCCCATCGCTCTAAGGCTTAAGCTACTCTCATGGCTTCATCTTTATCTCTTCTTCAAGTTCCCTCCTTTATCAACCATCATTCTTATAGATTGAGGTCCACACCTTCCTCATCCAAAAATTTCGGTACCCCCACATTCCCCCATTTTCTTTTTTCCTTAATTTTCATACTTGCTTATCAATATGTTTTCTTTCTTTTCCCTTTTTCATTTCTGCTCCTGCATTTCAGGGAATTGTCAGTTTGCTGTAATCAGTTGCTCGTCTTCCAATGGGAGAGAGACTGACTCGGTCGCCAGCGCTGTCAAGAAAGTAGAGCAGCGGATTGAAGAGAAACGGCGAGCCGAGTTGTCTGCTCGAATTGCTTCTGGAGAATTCACTGTGCGCCAGTCTGGGTATCCTCCTTAGTTTTCTTTAATTAAATTGTAAATTTATGTTTTAAGAACACGCATGCAAGCTTGTATTGTGGAACACAGTCTTGGGCATGGTTAGTCTTTGTTGTTGTGATAAGTACATTGGGTGTGAGTAAATGGAGATGAATGAGGAAATCTAAATGTTCTAGTTACTCTGGTCTTGCCTTTGTTTCAATAGTGTTTTATTTCCGTGCAATTTAAAAGTTGTCATAGTTGCATTTGATGCATAATTAAATCAACTTCAGTTGTTGCTTTAATTCCATATCTGTATAGTTGTATTTCAAACTGTTAAGGAAGGAATTACCAAAAAAATAAAAACTACCTTGAATCAAATATATAATTGGTAGACTTATGGGACTTCCATTTATCAAGCTTAAGTTATGGAGTTAACTGAACGCATCTAAATTAGACAAGATCACTTGATTTGTCTATCAGAAAAGATCACATTGTTCTGATTTTCAATATGATAGACATTGGACTGGGAAACCTTTTGAAATTGGGAAAGCAAACTGTGGTTTTTATCTTGCCTTTGACTTACCATAATATATAGTTGTTTTGGTTGTTTGAAAATTATTCCTTTAGTTCTTATATAGTGCTTTGGTTTTGGGAACAAGTTTTCAATCTATATTAAGGAATGGTTTATCGAAACTGGGCATTCCTGAAGAGGTTCTGGAATTTTTATTTAAGTTGACTGGTACTCTTGAAGATTATCCCGAGATTCCAACGGCTAAAGGAACAATTAGTGCCATACGGAGCGAGGCTTTCTTCCTGCCTCTGTATGAACTTTACCTAACTTATGGTGGAATTTTCAGGTTGACCTTTGGACCAAAGGTTTGCTTCTTTTCTTCATGTGATTTCTTATATTACTGGTTGTTTTTTCAATGTACTTGAGCACTAATTAGGAGCATACATGAATTTTATACTTCATTTGTTGGTCTTTTGTGCAGTCATTCTTGATCGTTTCTGATCCATCCATATGTAAACATATATTAAAAGACAATTCAAAGGCTTATTCAAAGGTAAATTAAATGTCATCTTCAATAATGAGCAATCTGGGTTTCGGCTAGTCCTCTGTTTAATTCTTTCTCATCTTTCATATGCAGGGTATTTTGGCAGAAATTCTAGAATTTGTCATGGGGAAGGGACTCATACCGGCTGATGGAGAAGTATGGCGGGTTAGACGGCGTGCAATTGTACCTGCACTGCATCAGAAGGTATCCTAATTAAGTTAGATATTGAATCTTGTTTGCTTTGGCAGCATCATGCTCCTTTGTCTAATTAATTGGTTCACTTGATTTTCACTAACGAAGAAGCTGAAATGTTAATTGAGCTTTTGTTTTTCATTGCATGTAACACCCAATTATTTTTATTATTTATTTTATTTTTATTAATTCTATGTAAATATAAGTATGTATTAATTGAATTGAATTGAATTTAATTTATTTTATTGAAAATAATAATAATAATAATAATAATAAAAAAAGGTAAAAAATTGGTTAAGGATTTAATTGAAAATAATTTTGGAGAAAAGAGGTGAAAATTTGGGTTCTAGGGGTATTTTTGAAAGAAAAATCGGAAATCGAGGGTCAAAACGCAATTCAGAAAAGTTACGCCACGTCAACTGCCCGGTCAGCAGCCCCGATCAACTAGGACGCGCTAGGTGGCAAAGACACTAACCCGGAAGGCCACGCGGGAGGGAACCACGTGGGCGATCCGCGTGCGCGTGATCGAACGGCTGAGATCCGTTCCCGCGCGCATGGACAGGCCAGATCAAAAACGCGCAGGGATGGCCCAGATTGCATCGCGCACAGACGGCCCTGATTGAATTGCGCACGGACGGACCAGATTGAATCGCGATGAACGAACCAGATTCACTCACTATTTAATTGCGATCGGATGGTCCAGGCTAAAAGCGATGGACGGCCCAGATCAAAAGCAGATGAGTATTAATAACCCCATCCGCACCCAAACCCTAACCCTAACCGCCAGAGCCCCTCGTCGGAGAAGATAGCCAGCCGTTGGGGAGCCGACCGCTGCCACCTGCCGCCGCACCGGACCAATTTCCGGCTGCCAAACGAGATAAAAATTCTACCATTTGCTCAGAATTTGATTTCAAACCCACCCATGGCCAAATCAGAGTGAAAGAACCGGTCAATTGGCCAGAAAACACCGCTGAAACTCAGCGGTGCTGCCGCGGGGTGCTTCGATTTTTGCCTCCGATGAGGTCCTTCCCAATTCCCGTTCGATGTGATTTTTCCACCTTGTGATCACCGTTTCCTCCTCTACAGGTTGACCGGAGCAAAACACCCAACTGCAACGTAAGCCAGAGGAGCCGCCGCACCGGAGAGCCCCATCGCCGCTGAGTTTCGATTTTCTACGTTTTTTTGGGCCCACCGAGGGCGCTAAGTGTGTTTTCTCACAGGAATCGATGCAAGTTTGGCTGAATTCGGCCGGAAACGGCAGAAAACAGCCAACTCGAGGCGGATCACTGCCGCGGGCAGCAGCGCCGTCGCCGGAGTACGGTGGAGCTACCGTGCCGGAATTCCGAAATTGACCGAGTAGGCCCTGGGTCTGACTTTGGGTTATTTGGGATATGTGTAGGTACCGTAAGCGCATTTCAGTTCCTGAGAAAAAATTCAGGAAATTTAGGGATCGACCGTAGGCGCAGTAATAATCTAGTTTTCGGCGTCGAATCAAGTAAGAACACCTCACCCTATTTCCTATCATGGAATTAGAGTTCGAATAAATGATAATACTGTATTTTGTGCAAATTAATAGATATGTATAATTAATTAAGGTTGCTAATGGAGCCCGAACCGGACATTATTCTCTGTTGATTCCTGCTTTATTTATTTTACGGTTTAAATGCATTATGATATCTGGTTTATCTTTTCTATGGTTTTCAATGCATGTATTACTGTCTTACTTGACCACTGTGTTTTTGGAATTTACGATATGATTGTATTACCGGGTGCATATTTATTATTTATGTAATTATGTTCAATTTGGTAATGGAGACTAAGAGAAAACAGATAAGGTGACAGCCTCACTAGATATCTTGGGAGATGGTGGACAGATTGGGTTCATAAGGAACCCTACCGTGAACGTCGTCTCATATCGGACGGGGTATGAGGACGGTCCGCTTCACACTTATACCGGACAGGGTATTGATATTTAATGTATTGGAGCTCATACCGGACGAGGTATGGGACGGCCCTGGAATTAATACTGTTAAGGAGAATGGTTCACGTGTAGCGAGGACACCTCTATGGATCCCCCATGGATATTAGTAGGCTGGTGAAAACAAGAAACGGTGATAATCAGTTATTGTTAATGAATACGGATTTATGATATATTTTATGTTATTGATTATGCATGAAATTGTGATCTGTATGATGTTATTATCTTTATAGGTTGTTTTCACAGGTTCTCCAAAAGTAAGAAAAAAGATAAATGGTTTTATTTTAAATAAATGTATTGTTTTAAAATTTGTGCTCTATTGGTTGTTTCTTTTTTTTTTGGTTTTCTACCAAACTTTGCTTTTGTGACGGTAATATAGTGTGATGTCCTTACTGGGCTAGTGTACCTCATTCCTTATTTAACCATTTCAGATCAGGAGGGCTTGGTTCCCGAGCCCGATCCACAAGAAGACGACGAGTAGATGCTAGATAATTTATAGTTTCCTTTATTTTTCTCATTTCTCGTATTTATTTTAGAGAACGTATTCCGTGATATTGTTTAGTACTTTTAAGTTATTGTGTAAGGGATGTTAACCTTAATTTCGCTTCCGCACTCAAATTATTATATGTATTTTCTTTTGAATTTCCGGGGCCGTTGCAGTTGGTATCAAGTCGCGTTCCTCGGACCCGTCCCTTACACAATAATACTTAGAGAAACACCAAACAATGAATTATCACTCAACTCTTCCTTGTGAAATGTAGTATAGTGAGATGAGAAGAGGAAAACCCCCAACTAACCGGGCAACCCGGGGAGGGTTTGCTCAGGGAAGACGTGGACAGGATATTTGAGATGTTAGAAAGACTCATTGCTGCCCAGCAGGGCCGAGAGGAGAGGAGGGAGCTACCTAACCCTCACCCGCTGCCACATGTTGAGCCACCACTGCAGCGAGAGGATCCTGAGCCACCTCGGTACGACCCTGCTCCTCCACAGTACCACCCAGTGTCACCGCCGCAGTATAATCCAGTGCCCCTGCCATATCAGCAAGTACCACCATAGGGCCCCCCCAGTCTATCCTCAACCTGGCTCAGTCCCTCTTCCACTGGACCTAGTTCCTCCCACGATTGACCCAAGTTACATAGAGAGGTACAGGAGACTGAACCCATTTACTTTTGCAGGGGAATCCTCTTTTGAAGATGTCTAATACTGGTTGGCGGAGACGAAGAAGGCCTTCAAGACCCCAGGAGTGACTCCCGAGCAGAGGGTCACCCTTGCTACCTACATGCTGGTGGGAGAAGCAGACTGCTGGTGGGAACTCAAGCAGACCATCCTGCCAGTTTCAGTTACTTGGGAACAGTTCCTAGCAGTCTTTCATGCAGAGTACCTCCCAGAGCACATCCGATATCTGAAGGAGATGGAGTTTCTACAGTTGGTCCAGGGAAACATGACTGTGTGAAAATATGCTTGTAAGTTCCTGGAGTTGGGCCGATACTCCCCTGAGATGTTGATGGATAAGGGCAGGAAGGCTAGGAGGTTCCAGTGGGGCCTCCGCCCAGAGATCAAACATCATTTGTTTGTACTGGAGCTCGGGACTTATTCGGCCGTTCTGGCCAAGGCACAGTTAGTGGAAAGGAGCCTCCACACCCTCCCTCAGTCAGCAGGGAACCACAGACCCTCAGCTCCACCCTGCAGACTAGCACCTACTGCGCCTGTCCAACAGAACAAGAGGCCCAGACCGGTGATCCAGGCTCCCCCTCAGACATAGTGTCCCCTTGGGGTGCCGGAGTCACTTTTCCCAGAAAGGGAGATGTAACGTTGATACTATGTATTGATTACAGAGGATTGAACAAGATCACAATCAAGAACAAATATCCCCTTCCCAGAATTGATGACCTCTTCGATCAGTTGCAGAATGCGCAGGTCTTCTCCAAAATAGACCTGCGATCAGGTTACCATCAGGTGAAAATAAGGACAGAAGACATCCCCAAGACGGCTTTTCGAATCAGGTACGGACATTATGAGTTCCTGTTCATGCCATTTGGGCTAACCAATGCCCCAGCCATCTTCGTGGATTTGATGAACAGGGTCTTCAGACAATTCTTAGATCAATTTGTTATCGTGTTCATCGACGACATCCTGGTCTACTCAAAAAGCAGAGAGGAACATGCTCACTATCTAGCTCAGGTTTTGCAGGTTCTCAGAAGAAAGAAACTGTATGCAAAGTTGAGTAAGTGTGGATTCTAGTTTGAGCAGACCGCTTTCCTGAGACACATCATATCAAAGGATGGAGTATCAGTGAATTCTGAAAAGGTTGAAGCGGTGCTCGGCTGGGAGAAATTGACATCAGTTAAAGAAATCAGTAGCTTTTTGGGAATGGCGGGCTATTATCGCAGGTTCGTTGAATGATTTTCTAGTCTAACAGCTCCCCTAACCCGACTCAAAGAAGAATGCCAAATTTGAGTGGAATGAGAACTGTGAAAGAAGTTTTTCAGAACTAAAGAAGCGGCTGACTACTGCGCCTGTGCTAGCCTTACCGAGTGAATTGGGGGGAATATACAGTTTACAGTGATGCCTCCTATTTAGGCCTGGGTTGTGTTCTAATGCAGCATGAGAATGTCATAGCCTATGGGTCCAGACAGTTACAGAGTCATGAGAAAAATTATCTCATCCATGACTTAGAACTTGCCGCAATTATACACGCCTTGAAAACTTGGCACCATTATTTATATAGAGAAAACTTTCAGATTTATATCGATCACAAGAGTTTGAAACATATATTCACTCAAAAGGATTTCAACATGCGTCAGAGAAGGTGGATAGAACTTCTTAAAAACTATGATTGTGACATCTTGTACCATTCGGGTGAGGGCAAAGTGGTAGTCGATGCACTAAGCAGAAAAAGTGCAGGTATCTTATCCAATTTAATACCTGCACTTTTTCTTGAACCTGTTGTGTGGCCCCAATTTGCCTGCACTTTTTCTGCTTAGTGCAGGTATATTCGAGAAATAGTCAGATTGCATGGAGTCCTAGTGACAGTAGTGTCTGAAATGGACCCCAGGTTCACTTCTCAGTTTTGGAGTAGTTTTCAGCAAGTCATGGGAATGAAGCTGTCCCTTAGTACTGCCTTCCACCCTCATACTGATGGATAGTCAGAAAGGACAATCCGTACACTTGAGGATATGTTCCGAGCTTGTATCCTTAACTCTGGGGGCCATTGGGACGACCATCTATCCCTGATAGAGTTCGCCTACAACAACAGCTAGCAAGCGAGTATTGACATGGCTCCGTATGAGACGTTATATGGGCGCCCATGCAGATCGCCGATTTGTTGGAAAAAAGTGGGCGATAGAAAATTGTTCGGCTCGGAGCTGGTAGAGGAGACTACATCCAAAATAGTTAAGATCAAGAAAACATTCAGACGGCTCAGAGCAGATAGAAGAGTTATGCAGACACCCGAATGAGAGATTTAGTGTTTGAGAAAGACGACCAAGTGTTCCTTAAAATCACTCATTTCAAGTGAATTAGTAGGTTCGGCAGGAGGAAAAACTAAACCCCCGATTTATTGGACCATTTGAAGTCTTAGACAGGATTGGTACTGTTGCTTATAGACTATCACTGCCTCCAGAACATTCTAAGGTCCACAATGTATTTCATGTGTCCATGCTACGCAAGTACAATCCGGATCCTTTTTATGTCTTGGCCCACGAACCTCTTCCACTCCGAAAAGATTTATCCTAGGAGGAAATACCAGTCGGCATTACGGATCGAAAGAGCAGATTACTTCGCAATAAGCAAATATCCTTTGTAAAGGTCGTATGACAGAACCACACACCAAGGGAGGCTACATGGGAGCTAGAATCAGACTTTAGAGCCCAGTACTCCCAGTTGCTCGATCGAGAGTAAGAGGTAAATTTGAGGGATCAAATTTTTTTTTAAGGAGGGAGAGTTGTAACACCTAATTATTTTTATCATTTATTTTATTTTTATTAATTCTATATAAATATAAATATGTATTAATTGAATTGAATTGAATTTATTTTATTTTATTGAAAATAATAATAATAATAATAAAAAGGATAAAAAATTAGTTAAGGATTTAATTGAAAACAATTTTGGAAAAAATGGGTGAAAATTTAGGTTATGGGGGTATTTTTGAAAGAAAAATCGGAAACCGGGAGTCAAAACGCAATTTAGAAAAGTTACTCTACGTCAGCTGCCCGGTCAGCAGCCTTGACCAACCAGGACGCACCAGGTGGCAGAGAAGCTGACCCAAGAGGCCACGCGGGAGGGAGCCACGTGGGCGATCCACGTGCGCGCGATCGAACGACTGAGATCCGTTCCCGCTCGCACGGACGACCAAAATCAAAAACGCGCACGGACGGCACGGATTGAATCGCGCACGGACGGTCCAGATTCACTCCCTATTTAATCGCGATCGGACCGTACAGATTAAAAGCGATGGACGACCCAGATCAAAAGCGGATGGGTATAAATAACCCCATCTGCACCCAAATCCTAACCCTAGCCGCCTGAGCCCCTTGCCGGAGAAGACAGCCCAGCCGCCCGGGAGCCGACCGCCGCCACCTGCCGCCGCCACCTGCCGCCGCACCGGAGCAATTTTCGGTCGCCAAACGACGTAAAAATTCTACCCTTTGCTCAGAATTTGATTTCAAACCCACCCATAACCAAATCAGAGTGAAAAAACCAGCCAATTGGCCAGAAAATGTCGCCGAAGCTCAGCGGCGCCGCCACAGGGTGCTTCGATTTTTGCCTCCGATGAGGTCTTTCCCGATTCCCGTTCGATGTGATTTTTCCACCGTTGTGATCACCGTTTCTCCTCTACAGGTTGAACGGAGCAAAACACCCAACCGCAACGTGAGCCGGAGGAAAACACCCCACCGCCGCTGAGTTTTGTTTTTCTACATTTTTTTGGGCCCACCGAGGGCGCTAAGTGTGTTTTCTCATAGGAACCGTTGCAACTTTGGCTGAATTCGGACGGAAATGGCCGAAAACAGCTAACCCGAGGCGGATTGTCGGCGTGGGCAGTGGCGCAGTTGCTGGAGCATGGCGGCTCGTGCCGGTATTCCGAAATTGGTCGAGTAGGCCCTGGGTCTGATTTCTGGGTTATTTGGGACATGTGTAGGTACCGTAAGCGCGTTTTAGTTCCCGGAAAAAAATTGAGGGAATCTAATGACCGGCCGTAATCGCAGTAACAATCTAGTTTTCTGTATCGAATCAAGTAAGAACCCCTCACCCTATTTACTATCATGAAATTAAAGTTCGAATAAATGGTAATACTGTATTTTGTGCAAATTAATAGATATGCATAATTAATTAAGGTTGCTAATGGAGTCCGAACCGAACATTATTCTCTGTAGATTCCTGCTTGATTTATTTTACAGTTTAAATGCATTATAATATCTGGTCTATCTATTCTATGGTTTTAAATGCATATATTACTGCTTACTTGATCACTGTGTGATTTTGGAATTTATGATATGATTGTATTACCGGGTGCATGTTTATTGTTTATGTGATTATGTTCAACTTGTTAACGGAGATTAAGAGAAAATAGATAAGGTGACAGCCTCACTAGATATTCTGGGAGATAGTTTACGGATTGGGTTCATAGGAAACCCTACTGTGAACGTCGTCTAATACCGGACGGGGTATTGGGACGGCTCGCTTTACTCTCATACCAGACAGGATATGGGAATGGCCCTGTAATTAAGACTGTTAAGGAGAATGGTTCACGTATAGGGGGGCCACCCCTATGGATCCCCATGGATATTAGTAGGCTGGTGAAAACGAGAAACGGTAATAATCAGTTATTATTAATGAATACGGATTTTTGATATGTTTTATGTTACTGATTATGTATGAAATTGTGATCTGTATGATGTTATTGTCTTTATAGATTGTTTTCACAGGTTCTTCAAGGACAAGAAAAAGAGTAAATGGTTTTATTTTAAATAAATATATTCCTTTAAAATTTGTGTTCCATTGGTTATTTATTTATTTTTTTGTTTTCTACCAAATTTTGCTTCTGTGACGGTAATATACTGTGATATTCTTACTGCAGTAGTGTAGTTCATTCCTTATTTAATAATTTCAGATCAGGAGGTTCTGTTTTCCGAGTCCGATCTACAAGAAGACGGCGAGTAGATGCTAGTGCTTTATAGTTTCCTTTATTTTTTTCATTTCTCTTATTTATTTTAGAGAATTTATTTCGTGATATTGTTTAATACTTTTAACTTATTGTGTAAGGGATGTTAATTTTAATTTTTTATTTCGCCTCCGCATTCAAATTATTATATGTATTTTTTTTTGAATTTTCAGGGCCGTTACATTTCAGATTATGAAGCTAGACATTTATGAATTTAGGAGAAAAGACTTAAAATTTATGTAGTAGACAGTGCTTAAAATTTTAGTAGTGTCCACAAGTTTTTAGAAAGAGAGTAATTTATGGCCTGGCAAAACAGCTACCTTGAGCATGTAACCTGGCAAAAAGGAAGTTACTTATGCCAGGAAAAGACACTATATTGAGCATGTAACCTGTCAGCTTGAGTTATAAATCATTGTTGACTAAATAGTTTTCAAGGTCAACTGCAACCTTTAAGTGACAAACTCTCATTTTTTTTCTTTAAATTATGAAGGAGTGGTTAAACAAATTAAACATGAGTTATAACATTATTAGTTTAACTAGTTGGAACCCAACAGGCCACAAGAATTGGATACATTAGACATACATCTAGGAGATTAAGGATAGAATACCAAAGAAACAAGGGAAATAAATGTAAAGTGTGATAAATTTCTACCTTGATCAATGTCTACCTTTATAGGATTGGGAGGCATTTTGGAGCCTTAAATACATCATTTGACCTGTTTCTGATGCTGATTCTTTTCTTGGTTTATTATATAGTATGTTACAGCTATGATCAACCTGTTTGGAGAAGCTACAGATAGGCTTTGCATGAAGCTCAATGCTGCTGCATTCAATGGAGAAGATGTGGAGATGGAGTCACTCTTTTCCCGTCTGACATTGGATATTATTGGCAAGGCAGTCTTTAACTACGATTTTGATTCATTAACAAATGATACTGGTATAGTTGAGGTACTGGCTTTTCTTTTCATATAATTTTTTATTGGAGTCTAAGTTAGCTTTATGGTTGATGTCTTATGCAAGAACTTACTGGATTTATGATATGTTGGATGTAACCAGACTCAAAATTCCGCATGGGCGTGGGTTATGGAGGAAAATATTAATGTTGAGGAAACCTTTCCAGCAGTGTATTAACTGGAAAATTGGTAGAGGCAACAGTATCAAATTCTGGGAGGATGATTGGGTTGGTTATGGGTGTCTTAGGAGGAGTTTTCCGAGAATTTTTAATATTGCTCAAATGACTATGATGACTGTTGAGGAGGCCTACCGAGTCTTGAATGGTAATATTGTCTGGTGTATCAATTTAAAGTGGAATTTAAATGATTGGGAGATTAAGAGTTTGAAGATCTTCTGAAGTATCTCATGTCACAGCATATTTCTGATAGGGACGATCAGGTTGTTTGGAAGTTGGAAAAGAATGAAAAATTCTCTGTTTCTTCTTTTTACAATTATTTATGTGATATGGGAGCTGTGAATAGACTGGTATTTCCAGCAAAGCTAATCTGGAAGACCAAAATTCCACCCAGAATTGCTTTTTTTGCACGAGAGGCATGCTGGGAAAGAATTTTAACTATGGACAGATTGAAAATCACGGGCAGAATCATTGTTAACGGGTGTTACTGCTGTCTTAAGGCTGAGGAGACGTGTAACCACATACTGTTATGGTGTCCCACTGCATATAATTTAGGTGTACGATTTATGGTTTTTTAGGAATTAACTGGGTCATTTCGGGTTCGTTTGAGAGGGAGATTTGGGCATGGGATGGTTCCTATGTAAAAAGAAGTATGAGAAACATTATTCCTTTAACTGTTTTTTAGGTCATTTGGAAAGAAAGAAACATGAGAGATTTTGATAGTGTTGAAAGTAGTGCATACTAATAAACTAATAGATAGCTGGATATATTTATTCAAGTTGATTATACTTAGTCATGATATCACTAGAAATGTGGATTTTAGGGATGTCATTGACATATTAACTTTTATGTAAATGCTTTTGTACATAGGTGGTACTCTCGTCTTTTTGGTACCATGATTAGTATATACTTTACACTTTTTATTTTTTAAAAAAGTGATATGTTGGATGCAACAGGCTGTTTACACAGTTTTGAGAGAAGCTGAAGATCGAAGTGTTGCACCTATTCCATTATGGGAAATCCCAATCTGGAAAGACATTTCACCACGGCAGAAGAAGGTTACTGCTGCTCTCAAATTGATCAATGAAACGCTTAATGATTTGATAATGATATGCAAGGTAACGTTGGAACTGTCAAAGCAACACCTAACTCTTTTTCTAAGAGAATACTGGACACTTTTATGCATATATGTATTTGGCATATGAAGCTTTAGAACCAATCAAATCAGGTAACTTCAGAAGCATATGAACTTTTATAAACATTCAATTGGAACTTTTAGAACCATTCAAATCAGTAACTTTGAGATTGTATTTGAGAAACCCTACTGAGTATCATAAAGGATCAAAATGATGTCCAGGCTGTTCTGCTTCTTTTTTTCGGGAATTTGATTTCTTTG